TTTGAATTTTACAGAGATGCTATGTCCCAATGACAAGTTAATGGTATACCATACTGAGATATCTGCGATACATCCGGCAGTGTTCAGCAGCCATAAATATTGCTGTTTAAAGCCCCACAGAAGCAATCACCCAACACCACTGGTATACGTAAAAGGAATTAATTGAACTCTTCATGCAAGTTGGCCACCATACACTGTCGTCATGGACAAAAGAATAGTTTAACCAAAGATTTATTTCCCTTTCAAGAAACAGTGATAACAAATTTCACTGAAAAAATCAAAATTGGCTGCCTGTCAGCCATTTTGTTTTTGATCTGTCCCAAAATCGAACAGGCACAACTAGGGACCAAGGGGAACCTACATACACAATTTGGGAAAGATCCATCAAGGACTTCTCAAGAAATAGCAATAAAAAAAATTGTTTATGGACGAACTACGGACAGTTGGACCACGGACGCAGAGCGATTTGAACAGTCCACCATCTGATGATGGTGGGCTAAAAAGATGATTCATGGGCCTTATATATACTCTAACCAGATTTGGTTTTAACAATATTTTTATTTCATTTTGGCATGTATAACAAGTGCAAGATTGGATCTGGCAACAAGAGTTTTGATCTTATATAAAGAAATCTCCAATGAGAGGTATTTTTTGTACTTACGAAGAACTTGAGCCTACAGTTTGGATAACACTGCCATAACTCAATATTTCATAATAACACAGACCCTTCAGTGTAAACCATAAATTGTAGGTAGATATGATCTGATTTCTACAAAATGTATGATTATTTAAAAAAAAATATAGTAAAAATAATCATACATAAATTATTAGTCATGAAAAATAAAAGAATTGTGTTGTTTTTTTTCACTTTACATACCTATTTGAAACTGTTCCATGGGGATACATGTATGTGTTACAATGTTTTACATCAAGTGATCTGAAAACTTCTCAAAATGAGAGGTTTTTTCCTGGAAAATTCCAGTGAAGCATTGCTTTTTACTTTAGGTGTGCATAAGTCTTTATCAAAATATAGCTATATTATTGTATATATTCTTACCTCATTAAAATACAATATGTAAGAAATATTGTTTTTCAAAAAGTTGTTATGATGAGAATGACAAAGTTCTGAATGAGAGAAAATATTCCATATATTGTTGATGAGGCATCCAAAATTTACTGAATTAAACCTGTTTAATCCAAAAACAGACCTGAATGTTCAAAATCATTTACATGATGATTGGAATTATATATGTATTTTACAATGTCTCAGTCATTTATCTACCTATTTATGTACATATCTATTATCTACAGTATGTAAAAATTATTCAATAAAAGAAAATAAAGTAAAACTTTTAATTTACAATTGTTTGAGACAAAACACAACCAACAACACACAGCTCTTGTTATGCTTCACAACAATCTCATTTCTAGTCGTTCTATACGAAAGTTATCAGAATCTGTAACACATGCTACCTCTGTGTTATAAGCTACCACTTGAGTATTTATCTTGATAATCAATCTAAATTAACATTACTAGAGGGCACCATGATCAAGATGACCTCAGTGTTTAGTACATTATCATTTGATGTATACAAATACAGAGACTTAATTCCACAGATGCACAGCAGATTGTGGAAACGGTAAAGAACATCTCTTGCTATAAAACCCTTTAACACATTTTTGTCACTAAAATATGAACAAGCATTTTCACAGAATCAATGTGTATATATAAAATGTTGTATAATTCACACATACAAATAATTGAATATTGGTATAAATTATGAATATTTACCAACAAACATGAAATAACTTGCCCATTGAAATACCCACCCTCTACTATTTTGGAACATTTTCTTCAGGTGGGTAATGTCAGTTCTTATAACACAACCATTAGAAGATTAATGTGTGACATTTTGATGAACACACGGTCACCTTAACCTGACAAATCACCCGTGTGGAGTATATGTAGTGTAAAGGATGGTAAGGAACCGACCAACTTTTTCGGCTGTACTATAATCCTATGTACACTATGGTCGAAATAAGTGTGACAAGATGGTAAACAGATTATAGACCAAAGTTTACACAAAATGGTAACAATGTACTGTAGTCAATTCAGGTATGCTTTGATATATTCAGCTACTCATTGACTACAGTAACAGCCAAAAGTATCTAGCACATCTCTGTATCATCAAGATCTCACAGCACAAGGCAGCTGTACATTTCAGGATCATCATGATCTTACAGCACAAGGTAGCTGTACATTACAGGATAATCAAGATATTACAGCACAAGGTAGCTGTACATTACAGGATCATCAAGATCCTACAGCACAAGGTAGCTGTACATTACAGGATCATCAAGATCCTACAGCACAAGGCAGCTGTACATTACAGGATCATCAAGATCTTACAGCACAAGGCAGGTGTACATTACAGGATCATCATGATCTTACAGCACAAGGTAGCTGTACATTACAGGATCATCAAGATCTTACAGCACAAGGTAGCTGTATATTACAGGATCATCAAGATCTTACAGCACAAGGCAGGTGTACATTACAGGATGATCAAGATCTTACAGCACAAGGTAGCTGTACATTACAGGATAATCAAGATATTACAGCACAAGGTAGCTGTACATTACAAGATAATCAAGATATTACATCACAAGGTAGCTGTACATCACAGGATCATAAGATCTTACAGCACAAGGTAGCTGTACATTACAGGATAATCAAGATATTACATCACAAGGTAGCTGTAAATCACATGATCATAAGACCTTACAGCACAAGGTAGCTGTACACCTCATGATCATAAGATCTTACAGCACAAGGTAGCTGTACATTTCAGGATCATCAAGATCTTACAGCACAAGGCAGCTGTACATCACAGGATCATCAAGATCCTACAGCACAAGGTAGCTGTACATTACAGGATAATCAAGATATTACATCACAAGGTAGCTGTACATCACATGATCATAAGATCTTACAACACAAGGCAGGTGTACATTACAGGATCATCAAGATCTTACAGCACAAGGTAGCTGTACATTACAGGATCATCAAGATCTTACAGCACAAGGTAGCTGTACATTACAGGATCATCAAGATCTTACAGCACAAGGTAGCTGTACATTACAGGATAATCAAGATATTACATCACAAGGTAGCTGTACATCTCATGATCATAAGATCCTACAGCACAAGGTAGCTGTAAATCACATGATCATCAAGATCTTACAGCACAAGGTAGCTGTACATTACAGGATCATCATGATCTTACAGCACAAGGCAGCTGTACATTTCATGATCATCAAGATCTTACAGCACAAGTCAGCTGTACATTTCAGGATCATCAAGATCTTACAGCACAAGGTAGCTGTACATCACAGGATCATCAAGATCCTACAGCACAAGGCAGCTGTACACCTCATGATCATAAGATCTTACAGCACAAGACAGCTGTACATCACAGGATCATCAAGATCCTACAGCACAAGTCAGCTGTACATCACAGGATCATCAAGATCCTACAGCACCAGGCAGCTGTACATTTCAGGATCATCAAGATCTTACAGCACAAGGTAGCTGTAAATCTCATGATCATCAAGATCTTACAGCACAAGGTAGCTGTACATCACATGATCATCAAGCACTGACAGCACAAGTCAGCTGTACATCACAGGATCATCAAGATCCTACAGCACAAGGCAGCTGTACATCACATGATCATCAAGATCTTACAGCACAAGGTAGCTGTACACCTCATGATCATAAGATCCTACAGCACAAGGTAGCTGTACATCATCATGATCATAGCACAAAGCATGATCATAAGACAGCACAAGTCAGCTGTACATTACAGGATAATCAAGATCCTACAGCACAAGGCAGCTGTACACCTCATGATCATAAGATCTTACAGCACAAGACAGCTGTACATCACAGGATCATCATGATCTTACAGCACAAGTCAGCTGTACATCACAGGATCATCAAGATCCTACAGCACAAGTCAGCTGTACATCACAGGATCATCAAGATCCTACAGCACAAGTCAGCTGTACATTTCAGGATCATCAAGATCTTACAGCACAAGGTAGCTGTACATCACAGGATCATCATGATCCTATATCAGAAAGTAGCCTGTACATCACATGGTGATCCTTTAAATTTGGGGCAAAATTATGTAGAATTTATTTTCACAATAAGTAGTAGAAGGGAGATAACCTGCACAAATAATTGTGGATTCTTCATAATATTCTCAGTTCAAAATGAGAAAGTATGATGTTCAAATAGAAACAAAGTCAAGAAATAAAGTCTCCTATGTGAATTTAACTCATCATATTTTAACATATGAAAAAATGTGAACATTGTGAATGAACCAATATTCATACATCATTAAATGTTCACAAGAATGACTGAATTAATATTTACATTGAGTGAAGTATAACACGAGTACCTTGGCAATACCACAGCACACACATGTAACAGAAGTCATTATTTATTTCAATGCATCCACTAGGATTCAAACCCGGGACCCCTGGTTTACTAGTCTGACGTTCAACCAATCGAGCTAAAGAAAAGCACTCTCTATCAAATCAATATATTTCAGCTAGTATTTATCAGGGTGACATAGTCCCCCTCCAGGAAAAACCTTGTCCTTTAGTTTCCTTGGGTTACAGCGAAACTGGTGGGGCATGACTAAGCATTATTCCCTAGTCCCTACATGGGTGCCAATGTAACAGAGGTCAATATTTATTTCACTACCTCTGCTAGGATTTGAACCCGGGACTTCTTGCGTACTAATGTGATGCTCAGCCGATCGAGCTAAAGAGAAGTCCTTTGTAGCCGAGTGGTATTGCAGCTTGTATTTACCAGGGTTACATGTACATATGTATTGTGTGATAATATGTAATAAGGTACTAAGATAGTTTCTGCTACTTTTTACCTACATATTTCAATTACAATTTTCAAAACTTTATATATGACTTACCTTGAAGTCTGCCATGCATTTATCAAAAGCTTGAATTTGTCCATCACATAGCCCTTTGTATTTGAAATCATGCATTTTATAGCAGTCCAGCATATCCTTCAGTGCATCTGTACATGGTCGCCCTAAAATTGATATAAAAATCAGATGTTTGAAATCAAACCCATTCAAAATAAGTTCTATTTCAAATTGGAAGCAACAATAGATGTCCTACAAATCTAAGATAACCAACACCATTAATTTTCCCTGTTCATGAAACTTTGTATAACATTTATGTAGCATACTTCAGCATTTATAAGCATGCTAAGCAATGACACCATATCACTCACATAGCCATGAAGCACTTTAAGCTTGCACAGACAGTTTCTCAGATATAGGCGACACTGGAAACTCTAGGTAATTATGAAATTGAAAATTCAATCTAGTCCTTCTTGAGAAACAGATTGAACACTCTGTAACTGTTAGTATCCTTATCTATTTAGGTCATCTCTCAGCAATTTTTTTTTTCAAATCATTCATTAAATGGAACTTCCACAAACTAAAGAATCTGAGGAACCTACAAATGTTGGAGTGGCTTTCCACTTATGAACATCTCAATTCTTCTGAAATGGAGAGATGAAGCCCATTTTAATATTCACAACCATGTTTGTTTGGTGATGAATAATGAGAGTACAAGCAGGTATGGTGCCTATTCCATACCAAGGTAATCAACATTTAAAGATTGTTTCTCGTTACATCTAGATATCTTATATATCTCTGCAAACATCAGACATTTACATCCAGTGTAAGTAATAACAAGACAGCATAAAAATTGATAAATGTACATGTTGTGCTTAGTAAGATTTATCTACAAACCATCCAACGCAAACATAAATATTTTATCTTTACCAACTGGAAAAAGTCTCAATTGTAAAATATTAAGAAAAACAAAGCATATTATCTTCAGGGCAATTGAAATCTTTAAATAAAATAAGACAGTCTTGTAAAGATAGGATGTATGTATGATGGACCAATACACTTCAGCACAGTGTATATATGCTGATGTACACAAACATTTAACAGACCTAATAAGACCTGTATATAGTCACCTTCACCACAGACTGAGGTATTGGTATATCTCTATCTAAGTCTGTATGTTCATCAAATATATTTCTCCATTATACTCCTAATTATATATTGTCACAGCATTTCTCAACTTTCTAATGGTATTGTACCAGAGTTCACATGATTGGAAACAACATACCAGCTCTGTACTTGATATGCACAAAGAAAACAAAATGCCAATACAGCTATAATCACTCGTCTGGATATATGCGGTAGATGTTTTATCGCAGCCCCAAAGCATTTTTGTATAAATGTGCTAATAAATTTGATCTGTATTGACAATATAGACTCACCAACCTGTGCTTAAACCCAGTAACACAAACAAACATAAAACATCATCAACCTCCATGGGTAGGATAAAAAAATGTGTATACATATGTATATTATGGTCTAGAGGTTAAACTATTTCTTCATAAACATGATCAAAATGTTCAGTGTTTGCTAATTGTTATCCTTCAAAAATGTGTGTTTTGAAAAATATTTATTTAAGGAAGCTTGACCCTTTCCAAATGAACCATTAGATATTTTTGAAACTTTTGCTTAAATGATTATAAATGCTACCACATGAATATGATTTTCTAAAAAATCTAAGCATTCTTTTTCTCATCACTATCAGAGTCTGACCTTGTATCTCTTATGTCAGCTGATGTCAATGGCATGGAATATGAATGGTCAAGACATCAGTTACTTCCAGTACTATCATCAAAGATGTAAACCACATTTTCTAGACTCTTCTTGTCATTGTTGATATCATGGCATACCTTTCATCTTCTTTATCCAGAAGAGTTCTCTTTCACACAGCACAAAATTCACTCTTTATTACACCCCAGTGCAAAATCCTTGGTACACAAATATTAAGTTACATCACAACGATACAGGACACATTACTGGTGTATTATGTAGGGTTGAATCTCCTTAACTATTCTTTGAATTCTTATTACATAATCATTGTTATCTCACATTCTAACATGCATACCAGTAACATTAGGATTTATAGTAGTATGCCATGCACTCCCTCATCAGCCTGCTTAGCTTGTGTGAAAATATACAGGTAATTAACACCGTCTTTGTCTGGATCTGAACCCAAATACACACGTCTATATGTGTGCATCTGGGTATGATATGAAAGAAATGACATCACAGATCGATACCCAAGATTTTGAACATGTTAGGCCCACCCCCTCATATGAGTAATAGTCCTGAAATTGAGTGATAGTTATCAACTAAACAAATAACAACTAGTAGAGGGTTGGAACGACCTGTATTATTGTGTCCAACCAGTTGAAAGCAACCATAAAAGGCTGATATGTGGAGAAAAGAGCAAACACCTGTAGCCGAATGCACTTAGCTACAACCAAATCGAGAGGTGAAAATTGATTCAGGATACTACCCAGGTGATACAAATATAAAGATCTGCAAAATATCACTACCGATGACCTTTGTTTTCTTGGTACCTTTAGCTATATATGCATATATCCCAAAACAACCTGAATCGCTGTTACATCCCATGATGTTTGTGAACTATGTTTCCGCATGGAGCAATTATTTTGGCGTCCGAGATCAGGCCAAATTCAGCGTAAAATCTATGTCAGGTAAACATAGATTGAACAACAAATTTGCTTGTTTCAATACTCTGACGTTCAATCAATGTTGCAGGATTAATAGAATACATGGTCGGTATTTTAGGTGATCCACTTGTGCCTTTCTGTTCCGAGCCACAATATGGCTTATACTTTATGACACTGACCATGTATTCTCTATATAGATGTACAGGAATCAGATGTGTATTATCATTACAAAACATATCGGAAACGACACCTGTGGAGTTGACCAGGCAAAAAAATTGTGATACATACCTGATGATAATCTGTCCTCTTTTGCTTTAATCTTGTTGTCTAAAATAAACGGTGCATTCCATATTTTGTAACGATGGGGGTCTGGCCTGTAGCCAAATGCACGTTTGTGTTTAGCTAACGAAAAGTTTGTTAACCGAGGCATGTTCCAAAAACGAATCTAATTTCAGAGTGACCTCCCTTGTACGTCAAGTAGTACTAAATACGACGGTACAAATATTTATAACTACTAAATGCGGAAGATGATTAATTATGATATGTTTAGCGATTCCCTTATCTGTAACGTAACTCAATTATTATTTTTTAATGTTTGTGCTATTAATGTATTACTTATTTATCTCTAACCGAAACAATGGACAAAGTGAATTGAAGGACTTGTAATTTTATAACAAGTCCGTTGAAAAGTTAATTATCCGAGTTGTCTTTAGTGGGGCCTTCAGTTTATTCTTTTGTTTGATAAAATGCCTCAAATGTTGTCCAAACCGTACACATTTGCCTGCTTATATTTTTTTAACCGAAGCCGTAGCCAATCATCCTTGGTCCCCATCGGCCATCAGTCTGTCAAAATATTATTGCTAATAATTAAATTTCTTTCCGGAACATTTCCATTTCCATAGCGATTTTGTGTAGAATTATCACCCAATACTACCCTATACATGTACTTTCAAAATAGCAAGGACATGTGTTTCAAGTATGCTTTAATGATTTTAATTATCATACTCCCGATAATGTTTTTTTAATCCATGATTTTGTGCCTGATACTACTCAATTCCAAATACTAAAACAATAATACGAGTTACATCCCTTTACACATGGAACGTTTGTTACCTCGATTCTTAAAAACGATAATTCCCAATCTCTTCCAGCGTGCATTGTGGTACCGAAATGACTTATTGTTAAGGAACAACTCTGGAAGAGATTGGATAGCTGTGTCCAGCTGAAAACCTCAAGTCTGATTAAGATCTACTTTTATTCTAGCTATGGTTACAAAGGCATAAAAACACTTATTATTTATATATTATTTGCGTATCATGTCAGATAGAAAGTATGAACATCATCGCATGTACATATAGACATCTATACAGTTAATTGTGAAATAATAAATACAGAAATACGCACAATAAACGGAAATCAGTAGACTTGCACAAGCCCGCCACGAAGACCTTATGGCGTACTGATGAACATTTTTATTTGGTTTGGATAATTGAAAATATAAAACAAAATCAGTTTTGAACACTGAATTATTTCAATGAACTAACATACTTAAAATTGGACCTAACAAGCAGCTTAATGATAACAGGCCTTGGAATGCTACAAACGGTTAAGAAATGCCACACTGTTAATTAGTTATTTCAAATAAAACTCTACTGAACTGTGAATATATTGCAAATACGATTATTTTCCATTAATTCTCAGCAACCTACAGTCATCTACACGTGACACATTACCAGTTAATAGTGAATTACTTACTAATAACCCTTAGACATTCCTCCAAATATAAACCCATCCCATCCTGTTTTGATGTGACAAATAGCATTCTGATGTCATCATATTAACATCCTATACTACTTTATTTAAGTAGAATAGCTTTTTAAAATTGCCTTATATACTTTAATATATACTCCATATTTACCATCAACTTCCTTAATATTCGTTGAGTGTGCATCAATGTTTGAACCTTTAGATTAATGATATATTCTGAAGTTTTTGAGTTGGGTATATGCATCTCAAATTCATGTGGAATAGAGATTGTTATCCTGCCATTATTTCTGATTAATAACCTGGTACATTACCGACAGATGTTGATGCCAAACAAATATATATTAACCAATATCAATTCTGATGTTTCTTCAAAGTAACTTTGTTTGGTACTCCAGGGGCTGGCCAAATGATAAAGATTTTCTCACCACTATTTTACCAATACTTTATACTATTCGTTATTTCCATATGGTGTCATTAATGCCATACCAAATAATGATACTACATGTAAATATGCTGATTTGTATATCATAGAACTAATTTTATACTAACGTTATACTTAACATCTACATGAAATCTGACAGGTATTGCATGGGACTGTATTTTCACCTCCCCATCCTATCTCGGGGATTAGTCATATACAATATATGACATGTACGTTCAAAAGACCTGTCACCTGTCAAGCCTTTTTAAAATACTTTAACTTTTTGATTTACTGCTCAACAATCTTCTATATTTCAATTTTGAATTATAAGTGACTTAATTGCTGATTCTCCCTCCAAAATTAAAATTGACTAAATACATCTGAGAACTAGAAATGTATGTTACCCTGTAGATATTTAGGAAAAGTTAGCACAGTACTATGCTAATCAAGTCCTACTCTGAAATTCCAAGGCTTTATTTCTCAGTATACACTTACACTATACACCTGGAACAGATTTCAATGTACTGACTCTGTACATGTACTTCTTGCATAATCCATGTAAATTCCAGACTGATGCCACACTGGTTTCAAACCAATGTTCAATGCTATACAGTGAGCTCTATTCTAATAAAAAAAGTAAAGAAAAATATAGTCTTTAATACTATACATTAATTCCATATCAAATTATACTGAAAATTGTTTGCGAACAATATTAATTACACATTTTAACTTACTTGCCAAGAACATAAGTCCTGTTCACTACACAATATTAACTAGGAAGGAGATAAACATGCCTTTTTTTTATATCTGACCAATCAAATTATTCATGGATTTAATTATCAAAGCTTATTGGTCACATATTCTATACATGTTTATATAAAGTTCCAGCATGATATTTAAAAGGTTCTAGTTTGAAATTGAAAAATATTGTGACAAAAAATACTTACTTTGACCTTGAGGTGAAGGTCACAGTGACCTAACATCCATGCACTGCTCAGTTTCATCAACATATTTAACATGGTTTCAAAAATACTACAGTTAAAATTTTACAACTAAAACATTTCCACTTATCTCACCAATAAAATTTACCTTGAGGTTACAGTGACTAAATTTCTAAAACACCAAAGTCTTTGGGTGATCAAGTAACCAATTTTTCATTGTTTTTTATGTATAATTATTAATACAACACCTTTACAAAGAATGATATTCATAGATACACAATAGCAATTACATTAGATATTCAGTACAAGTGGTGAGTGCGCATGCGTGAATATACACAGGGATTTAAGAAAGTATCATAGAGTATGTGTAATGTACCCCAGTAATAAACATTTACAAAGTTATGGCCACCAAAATATGTTCTGGAAACACAAGATATACATGTAGTTGTCCTTCTTTAAACTTGAGGTGATGGTCACAGTGACCTAAATTTAGTCCACTGCTGTCATCTGTGAAATAGAATTTGCACCAAGATAACTTTGACAGTTAAAAAACCATGGCCTCGACAAGATGATATAAGAAGAACAAATCTGACAACAGAATATGTTGTTTTAGCAAACTTCATTTTGATAGAGGCTATATCCAAGGCTTATCACAAATCGATATGTTGACATATTGTGCAGTTTATATATCACTGAAGCAATTCAAAGTGTCAAAATATCTTAATTTAAATCATGCAACTTCAAAGAGTAGCAAGCTACTCACCTAAGGCTGAACATAATCCATTTTCAACTTTCGGGGTACATCAACAACTTATAGATTATTGTCTAGAAGATATATTGACCTCTGTAACCTTAAGTGGGTCAAGGTAATTAGGCATAAATTCTTCAACTACACTACAGCTCACAAAGAAGAAATTGGCACTTTAAAACATTTTCTACAATCTTGAAATCTTATTCGTTATACATGCTACTACATGAATACCACAGTTCCTGACCTGTTGCTTGTTGATAGAGTTCATTTAACCCTGGAGACATTGAAAGTAGGCCAAGGACAATCATTTTAATAAATTTGGTAGCCCTTCATACAATTACATATGTATGGTAAAGAACCATTATCAACAGCCTGGACTTTTTAGTTATTGAGAACATGTTTTGTTGCTTTTATACATTTGACCCTTGTGACCTTGAAAGAAGGTCAAGGTCATTCATTTTAACAAATTTAGTAGCCCTTCATCCCAGCATGCTACAAGCCTTGGGCCTTTTAGTTATCTAGAAGAAGTCATTTGAATTGAAAATTTATGCAAGGTGCATGGCAGATAACACACTATAATGGAAGAAACAAAATGACTAATAGGTCATGATGGCCATTTGTGTCAGATGACCTGAACTGAGAACTATGAAAAAAGCAATTGAACATTTTATTAAGTTACATGTATAATACAAATATAACACTTTATCATTTGTTTAACTTCAGAGTAAATTTAGCCTAAAATAAAGACTTACTGTGCAGAAATGTACAGGCAAATTACAACTTCTAGTGTACACTTACCTGTCAATGATTTTTAGTTTTTGGAGAAAGTGTACATGTTGATTAAAAAATCAAACTGTAAAGACTTTGTTAGTGTTAATTTCTGCATTAGCATCTCATTACAGTAAAGAGTATGTACAAAATCAGTGTAAGCCAATACACAGAACCTTTTTAAGTTCATGGGAACCTCCAAAATTTCCTTCAGAATATAAGTGATGGGTACAATTTTCCTTTACAAGAGTCTCAGTAAAGATTAAAGAAATGACAGTGAACCTCAGTGAAACAGCACTCCATAGGGGCCTACAGGTGATTCATGAAAAAAAATAAGTTTCCCTCATTTGCTGCGAAATTGATCTTGCTTGCTCAGTAAACTTTGCTGGTGGTAGCTGCAGGTACTAACAGCTTTTCCATCATTAAAAGTATACCTGGGAAAACAACACACATGAGTATTGATGCTTACAATACTGACATGTCAGAAAGGGCCTCACAATGACTCCAAACCTGAGCTTATAGAAAAATTACAATAATAAAGAATTTCTGCTTTACAAATATAAAACATATTTCATGGTGTATAATCTATTGCTATTTCCAAGGACGTAGATAACAGCACTTGCTTGTTCCATTCTGAACATTCTGGTTTAAAATGCCATTAAGTATATTTAGTAACTGATCTAAGTAAAGCTTTCGGAACACCTCGCCTCGATTACATCACCTTCCATTGTTAGATGACCCTGGAATCGGCGGAGGTGTTCCTAATATAAAAAGGATACATAATTAAAGCATGATTACGTAAATCCA